TTCATCTTCAATATATTTTTCATCGTTATCATTCCTAATATTATGATCCTTTGAGATTTCACCAGGTAATGTATGAAAATCGGTTATTTTTTCTTCTTTTGTAACATGAACAACTGTCGGTCGTTGATCAACGTCAATAACTCTGTTGTGAAGTCCGTTTATTAAGTTTTCCATCGTACCTTTTTCTGTTTTCGACAAACTCGTCTGAGCTTTATCAATGTTACTTTTGGCTGACACTAGTTTTTCATTCAGAATATCGATGAATTTTGACAATTTTTCATCGGATGATAATACAGAGTTGGCTATTAAAAATATGATCTCATTAAAGCTATTTCTTTGAAAATATAAACAATCACAACGATTAAAACTTACCAACTAACGTATTCAGCAGAACAACATACATAAATATAAACATAATATTAAGCAAAAAAACTAATATAACTTAAATGAAAAAAAAATAAAAGATAAAATTAATGCTCAAAAATAACAGTTCTTAAAAAAATAATGCTTTACAGGTAATTGTTACCTGGAAACAATCATCAATACTATCTACAATTCACACTTCTTCGGTTTATTGATTTATCGTTGAAATAATATTAACACAATGCTGTGTTCTTATATTATTATATCATAATATACTTCTTTTTCTCAGCTTATCGGTCCATTAAGGACCATTACTGCTTTCCAGATGCCTTGCCATCCATCTCTGTTGTAAACCAGGTCAAAGGTTACATTTTGATTTATCTCTTGTAAATTTTTGGTTATTAAATTAATCCACCGGGTTCTTGATTTTTCTAGGGACTTTGTTTTGTTCATTTTTTCTACGAGTACTTTTTTATGAATTGTCCATCAGCTCTTCAAGTGTAGCCAAACCACAGGTATTTTCTCCCTAATTAATGCTAAGATATTTGGTTTGTTTTTGTTGTACAAATTCTATAATTCCTCGTTTCTTCTTCTTTCATAGGTATTCGTTTCTTGGTTGAATTGTGGCTTGTAGATATTCCGGAATATTTTTCTATCAAATATCATTAATTTTCTTTTGTTAAGGACTATGTATTGCAAGCATATGTTATTAAACGCAATTGAATATGATTTAGACGAACTTTTTATGTCTATGACAATAACTTTGATTTTAGTAGTTTGACTATATTATAATAACACCTGTCCTTACATAATATTCTTTAATTCATTCTTGGTCATTTTTATTCTTATTTTTGACATAAACTCCTAAGAACATAAAGTTATCCATTGTTTCAAGTTTTATATTATTAACTAAAAGATCGTTTAAATTCTGATTGTTCCTTGACATCGCCATATAATTTTATTTTCATTTATACATAGGCTCATTGATTTACTTGCATTAATGAGTTTCTCCGTTGCATGAACGATTTCTTCTTTAGTCCTTTCCAAAACTACAATATCATCGGCTTAAGCCAAAATCACCTACTTTCCAATTATCTTCATTTTCTGTTGTTCGTTTGTATCTTTCACTATTTTTTCCGGGGTTAGATTGAATAATGTAGTAGAGATTGATGTAGGCTAGATTTTACCTCAAATATATCCGTGTAATTTTTTAAATAATATTTTTAACAGATTGTCTTCTTATTACAAATTTTAATGCGATTCATATACTTCTTTGATATTCCGAGTAGTTCTAATCCTTTTATTAAACTTATAACATATAATTCACTAATCATTATTTAAAAACGTTTATATTTCAAATTCAATATATATTTCTAATATGGTTTTAAAATGCTCGTATTATAAGGTTGAAAGGAAATATTTAATATATCTATAACGAAGCACCCTTAGGATCAAAATTTAGGATAGATCCAATTGTAATTATTTTAATTTATATAGGTACATATTATTTATTTTTTGTAAACTTTTTTAAATTTAACTAGAAAAAATGATTATACTTATAATATAAAATAATACTATTCCTTTTGTTTTACTTGATAATAATTAAAGATCCAATCATAATGATTCTAGGAAAAAATAGGTATACCAACAAAATAATATATTATATTATTTTAATCACTAATTACTTATATTGAAAGCCGAACTGCATGAGGTCAGAATACACTATGAGATTTTATTAAGTTATTATAAAATTAATTATTTATCAATGTTCAGTACTTAACACTATATATACATCATGTATCAACGTATTACTTTGTGCCTTAAATCAAAAATAGTTTAGACTCAGTAAAATTAAAAAAAAAATTTAAATACAGATACTGATAGATATATATTCTCTATTTTACTTATTTTGTTAAGTTTTTATTATTGAAAAATTGGTCATGTTTATATATATCTCAGTAGAGTTCAGTAAACCTAAATATAACTTGCTAGTTTTCCATCTACCTGTATTTACTTCTGGTTGACAATTTTATTGAAGTGCCATCAAGAGAAAATTACTTAAAATATGCATTTCCATGAGAAGGGAGAGGAAATAAGTAAAATAAAACAAAGATCCCACAGCATGGTACACTATTATATCATCATTCCAATTACTGATCCGTACATATTTTTAAAGCATGTTTTAAAAACTTATTAAAACATACATTTGCATATAGTTTCAGATAACAGCTTACCACATCAATCACAACATTACCATCAGGAGCCTACGTCTTTTGGATTACAGCCCGTGTTACAGTCGAATGCCACATCCGTAAGGGCCAGAGCTTACGTCTATTCGAAACACAGCCCACGTTGTCGGGACATAGCTCACGTCCGTTAGGCCACTTCGAAAAATAAACGGATCACAAAGAAATATGACAATTTTCCATGATAAACCAAGGGACTCATCGAAATCAAACAAAATACGTATCAACATAAGTTATACGATTTAACAAGGATTTCGGAAAATACAGTACTCAGATGTAGTATATACTAAGATCACTACCCAATGTAAAAGAAACCATCCAATATTTTGATAAACCAAAGCTTGCCAACAGTCATACAGATTTAAATAAGATAAAAACGAGGGAGAAAGAAAAGAGGATCAAGCAGGGTTGAATAACATAAAGCAGAACGCACGATTCGACGAGACCGACGAGCTTTTAGCCGGGTCGAGAAGAAGTAGCCTTAAGACAGAAGAGATCAACGGGGACGGAAATGGAGCACCGTTATATCGCGGAACCGGTGGAGGTGCCACCGCCTAACACTGAAAGGACGACGATCACAGCCGATTACCACGAGATATCTAGATTGGCGGACGAACAAGCCGAATCGTGAAGATAGGTACGTGACCGGCGAACTAACCAAGCAGAATTGAGATATTGACATCAACCACGGATCCGCAACGATCAAATCCTTCACATTTGCAATTAAGTGTATGAACTAATAAAACGAAAAAATCATGGTATATTTGTTAAGGCCCCGTAACTCTTTGTGAACGTAGCCTCATGTGATATATTGATATATATTATTAAATAAATGATGGCATCATTCTCTCTTCCTGACGTAGTTCCAGCAGAAAGTACCAGGAGAGTTGTTGAGTATTTCTGGTTCAAAAAAAAATATATATTTAAATAAGATAGTAGCGGAGAAATCAATAAGCGTCCACATCAATAAGTTGGTTACTACATTTTTGTATGTAGAAAAAATGCCATGTGGATCGTATATCTACCACTTCACTCGAAAAATAATAAGAATATTAAGCTAGACATCAATCGTTGAGCACAATTCTTTAAGTATAGACTCTAGAATTCTAAATTAAAATTAAATTAAATTACGCTGTTAATTCAGTGATTGATATATAAAACAAATCAATATTATACATAGAATTACAAAATGACATGAGTTTATTAACAGAAGAATACATTTTTTATGTCTTAGAAGCAATTGAAGAATAAAATACGGTTTTATATCCGTCTATTTATCGAGTACATATTACATAATATTGAATTTTTTATAAAAATAATTATTGTTGTAAATGTAATTGTAATGCAGAGTATGTTTAATGTCGGTCGATTTTCCGTCGGAATTTTGGTTGTTGGTCGATTGTCCATGTTCCATTTGAGTTAAATATCTCATTCGACAATTATGTAATATTATTATTAATTATATTGTAGGTGGTCTTATATTTTTATTTAGCAAGTAGGTATCTACTTTTTGAGCAACTTTTAAAACTTGGATTTTTTTATTCATATTCTAAATTATATAATAAACCTAAAAACATCATCTTATAACAAAATATGATTTAAATAAATGTTATTTTATGTGATAATGTGAAAGGTATTGAAAATCTGAACCTCAAACCAGATTTTTAATCAGCTATCAATTCACATTTCAATATGAAATTTTTTAGAATTATAAAAAATATTCTGGTTTATTATACTCGTAATATGACAAAATTACAAACTATAATCACTTCAAACATTTAAAAAAACTATTAAGAGTTGTTTAGTTGTATTTCAAATTATGTAAATGATAATATCACGTTTTGCACTAGTACAAAGTTTGATCCAATACATATAGCATAGGCAATAACACATTTCAGCATGAACTTAACAATACCATATTTTAATATGGCTCAAAATTGTTTCTAAATCGATTTTACTTAAAGAAATAATCGATTTTGTATAATTTTGACCGCAAATTCGATATTGTCGCATTTTTTCATTATAAATCGATGTGTAACTCGATTTTTGAATTTTTGGCAATACCACATTTCAGTTTCACATGTCGAGTACGTACAACAATAGTGAGAAAAATATAGCAACGTCGCAAAATTGCCACGTACATATATCCATTTACATAATGAAAGCATAAGAATATCATAAAGTAAAAAATTGTTCATAATACTTTTAAGTTTTTAAATGTTAAAAAAAAAAATATTACGATCATAAATATAATAAATATTCATCATGTAAAACGAGTAAACGAATTGCAAGCGTTTCGGTAAATAGCAATAAAATATAACATTAAACATACAAATTATTATTAATATTTATCATTTTAAAAATTATTGTAAAATGTCAAGCAACATTTGATTTTAGAAAATAAAAACTATTCAATAGTTTAATATAAAAATAATTTGTATATAATATAAATCTCGAGATTTGCCTTATTCACAATTATGTAGAAATGCACCAGGAACGTAGTTTTAACATTCAGACATTTACAAGTCTGCTTTGAAAGGATTGTACTCAGGATCTAAACGAATAATCTTACAACTGGTGTCCCACAATTCTTGGCTGACTTGTTCGTCTTTGGCTGCAGGATCTGGTTCCATTATTTTACAATCACTGAAAGTACAAAAATTACTCAAATAGATTAAGCAGTCGAGTATAATATTCCAATAATCAACCAGTTTACAGGTATTTAATACTCCAGCTACATATTTTGCATTTTATACTCAATTTATAAGTGCTGGCGTATAGAAAAAAAATGAACATATTCGGATATTTTGTCACGTATAATGCAGTGATGTACTTAGTTTGCATAGACAAACAAATAAAACCAAAAAATAACTTCAGTTCCTGGATGTTTGGAGATAAATCTTAACAAATTCCTTGGTGGGATTAATCCCTAACACTTCCGATATCTGACCGTGCCCGTAAATAAACATGTACACTGTACGGGTGGATCACCAATTCTCGTATACTAAAGAAACTACCAAACAAAGCAGTTATATTTATGACAGTTCTATTTAATGTCTTGTTAAAACTGAGTTACTTTCCGACGGATTGGAAAAAAGCTGAAATAATAATGATTAAAAAAACCGGACAACGATAATACTGGCTTTAAAAACTACAGGCCTATAAGCTTATTATCGTCGGTGTCAAAAATATTCGAGAAAATTATCCACTCCAGACTTATTAGTCTTTTAAACGCAATAGAAGCAATACCTCACTGTCGATTTGGTTTTAAACCAAATCACTCGACGACTTAACAACTTTTTCGTAATACAGAGCACATAAGTAATGGGTTCGAAAAAAAAACACACCGGAGCAGCCTTCCTAGATATAGCTAATGCATTCGATAAGGTGTGACAGCCAGCTTTACAAATTAAAAGGCCTTAATACACTCTTAGTTATCTTTAACATTATAAAATCCTTTCTATATTCGCGCAGTTTCGCCGTCCAAATAGAAGACACAAATTCGGATATCTAACATATTAATGCAGGCGTACCACAAGGATCAAAATTATCCCCAAAACTTATACATATATGACTTCCCACAACGATAAACACGGAAATAGCTCTATACGCGGATGATAGTGTTATATATTCTAGATCTGACAAAGTAGAAAAGGTAATAGATAACATCCAAACTCATCTCCACGAAGTCTAAAAATGGGCACAAAGTTGGAAAATTTCCCTCAACCCTTCGAAAAGCTCAACTGATCTTTTCACTTTACGCAGACCCAAAAACTACAAAACTTTAAAGTTCAACGAACAAAATATAGCTTGATACCTATCACAATATTAAATATCTTGGAATATTATTAAATAAAAAACTCACATAGAATCCTCACATATCTTCCAAAATACAACAAGGATACCAGCGTTTAAAAATATTAAATTCATTGATTAACCGTCAAACTTCATTGAGCTGGAAGTGCTCATTATATTATATAAATAAATAATTTTATAATACAGTCCCAGTCTGGGGCCAATTTGCAACAACTCACATAAACAAAATTCAAGTATTACAATCCAAAGTCCTATGCGTAAAATCAAATGCCCCATAATTTATTCGAAACGATGTTCTGCATTCAGATTTTAAATTACCAACGATTAAAAAATACATTAAAGAACAATCTGTAACCTTCTTCAATAAATTATCAAAAACAAGTGGTTTACAGCATTTTAGGCTTAACACTGGTTCAAACAGTCGTAGACTTCAACATGGCCGTCTTCACGACGCCTTAGATCACGAAACTACAATTGTATTATGTATATTTTGTATATTATTTTTATTTTTTCATATTTTATTACTAACTGTTAATGTTTCGTAATGTAAAAATTGTTACTCTATTCAATACTTAAACACATAGTTCTAACTATATATACTAAACAGTGACCAAATTTAAAAATATCAAAAAAAATGTAATTCTATACACTTAAGTTTAGATGATGATGTCAAGAAAACTTTATAACTATAATAAAATAAAAAAAAACTGCACGGGTGTCAGGTGTATTATTAAGCGATCGACTCACCTATAGTATAATCCGCTCTCGTGGGCGCAGTTATGGTCCAGAGCGCAATACAACGTGGTTTGGACACCTTGCTGGGGTGTTTTGACAACGACTTTAGTAAAGATGTTGTACAACCACGAGGCACCTGGAAATATGGTCTGATCGACGTACCTACTCAAATCAGAGTGAACGACGCCGGGGTTAACCGCGTAGACCGTCACTCCAGTTCCTGCACATTTTAATAATGCAGATATTTGGATATTTATAATATTAAATTATATTATATATATAATATAATATTGAATTTATATACGTTTACGGATTCCCGCGTACCTTTTAAACGTTTGGCCAGTTCCACGGTGAACAAAATATTGGCCAACTTGGACCTGCCGTACGCCCCGCTGGGCGTGTAGTTTTTGTCCAGGTTTATGTCATCGAAATGCATTTTTTTATCACCCCCTATTGAATACACATTAGAAGTTATAACGACAACTTAAATATTCATAACGACACATCGTGTAATTAATTATTAATTTACAAGGTTTGAATCAGTCAAGTTTATAGAGTACTATGATAATGTATACGATAATAATAGTTACGTACACGTGTGAGCCAATGATGTAACGTTGATTATCCTCGCTGGTGTGGATTTCAGAATCCTGGGTAATAAAAGGAGCGTAAACAGAAAATGACCCAAATGATTGGTAGCAAGGTGAAGTTCGATCCCGTTTTCGGACAACGTTTTTGGACACATCATTATACCTGAACGTGAATTGTTTTTAATTATAATTCTATACCATTGATCTAAATGTATTTATAATCAAAACTAACGTTCCTGACTCACCTGCATTGTTCACTAAAATGTCAATGGTTTTTTCCGTGTGCAATATTTCTTTTGCGCATTTCCTCACGGAGGCCAAAAAAGACAATTCCAAATGCTTGAAGACCAACTCGCCGACGTCTTTCTCCTCTTCGGTTTTTTTTTTGATACTATCTATTGCGTTTTGTGTCCTGGACGCACTTCTACATGCCATTATCACCCGAGCACCTTGAACGAAATATATCGTTTGAAGTAATTCGATACGACAATATCCGCATCGCACTTACATGATAAAAATATATTAATTTCAAATTATGTACCTAGGTATAGTTACATTTTCATCGAGTTCAATACCTACAATATTCTCGGTATTCTTTACATATTTTATCACATAAATTTGCAGTCTTAAAGTATCACAAACCAAGAGTTTTTACGATCTTCAAGGTCGTAACTGGAAATCATTTCGAGGGGGGGGGGCGTTGTAAGCTAAAAAATTGTGTTGCTCTAATTTTAATATAATATTGCGTAGGTAACTTAATATAATATTAAATTCATAATATTGTAGTACTAATATTTATTAATTAACATTCAAACATTTTTATTGCTAAATTTAAAAATAAATATTTACTTAATTCCTAAACATTTAAATTGGAAAATTGTTCATTTGAAAAAAACTCTATATTTTTTTGTTTTTCATTTGAAAAACAATTAATAACTTCTTATGTATCTACAACGTTATTCCTATGTACACTAAGTAATGCTAAGCTATTCAATCGGTTTTCCCTAGATACACTTCTTAGGTAATTTTTTATTCTTCTCAGGGTCAAAAAAGTTCATTCCAGTGTTGCTGTAATTACTGGTAAAGTTACTAGAATTTTTAATACAAATTAAATATTTTGAAAAAATTGTTGATTAAAGTTACAATACGCTTCGAATATTAGAATACGCTATAAAAACACAATAATTTTATATTTATTTATTTTATGTAAACTTACAAAATTTATTGAGTATTTTAAACTGAAATAGTTATTTCATCATGAATAATATAACACGAAAAAGTGTCGGAGGGTTTGAACCTTTTTCCCCCTCCTCCGAAACGGCCTTGCGATCGTTGGTTACAATATTATGTGCTTATATTGATGTTATTTGATATTGATCGTTACGTATATAAATACACCGTACAAACCGTACACCGTTTTAAACGCAATCGTTTTGTTATAATTATATGGTGGACAATATCTCCATGATTGCGCGGTCTGTGTTTATGACGGTTATGCAGTTATGTACGTATATATATTTTATTTATATTTATTTTTTTTAGTTGTATAGCGATTAACTTTTATTTTAATTGTTAAGTTATCATAATATTACGTAAATCATTAGTTGACAAAAAAAAAAAAAAAAAAAAAACAGGAAAGAAATCGAATTCAAAAAATCGTGTTTTTATATAATTGCATTATTATGCGTAAGTATCCGCAAAATAATATTATAAAACTGAAAATGTATTTACATGTACAAAAACATTTACTCGTATGCGAAATACTAGCAATACAAAAGTACGTTTACTTTGTTACCTCTCTTGTAGAATTCCATAGCTGTCTCTTTACCGATTCCGGTGTTACTTCCTGTTACGACGACCGTTTTTCCATCGAGTCGAGCATTCGATTGACAACGATTCGGCAATATATATTCCATCCTGAAATGTATTTATTATACAACAACATCAAATATAATGATATACGAGAAACGAAAAAATTATTTTAATATTATCGTATCTGTTATTTAAATACAAATACAAATTTATCAAACGTTTTCCGACAAAAATTATTATCTTGACTGCGATGCGCTCGTATACTACAACTATTATACTATCATACGTCTCATTTTAGTAGGTAGTTCGCGTAATTCGATATTATACCTTTAGGTTTAAAACCGTGGTTATAACTTTTTACCTAGTTAATGTCGATATACCTACTATGAGCTGATATATGAAACCATATTTTGTTACATAACATTAGCATACATACAATAAGTAAATTAAAATTCAAACTTATTCATTTTTATTTTTTATTTCCGTTTATGTTTATGCAAATTTATAATAATATTTTTTCTAATTACACTCATCTATAACTTATAATCATAACATATTTATTTATACGTTTCACACGCATGATACATAGGCTATTTTTAACAGTTAGTATTACATATTTATATTTTATTATTTTTAAATTTATTTTAACTAGCACGGAGCCATTATGATGGTTAACCTAACCATTATGATGGTTTAAACCATGAAGTCATTTGTGGACGCTTTTTCCGTACGTATTGTTAGTTATTGCAATCGAAATTTGAAATAATTAAATTATTATTATTATTACTAATTATTAAATTTTGTTATATATCCTAAATTATTATTTTATTTTTTTTTAAGAAACTAAAATTATTTTTTTCGGAGTAAATTAAATAAAACGTGAGACAAATCAATTAAATTATATTGTTTAAACACTAAGTACTGAAACTTTTTATTTTTTAAATACCCACCTAAATTGTATATTGATCGTTCATAAGCGCTAACAAAATAATATTTGATTCACACGATTCACAAACAGAAAACAAAAATAGGTTTTATTTTCAATGGTAATACCTATTACAAATATAGGACGAGTGTATAATATTTGATACTATGTTATAGTTCATATTTTATCGTTTGATGATATTTATAAATTAATTATGCACGCATCATTTTAATTTTAATAAATCGATAAGCATAAAGTAATAATCCAAACAGAAACAGATCAATAAATAAAATAGTTTATACTTTTTTCAATATACGACAGGGATTATGTTGTAGTGATGGGAACTTAGGTAAAAATATTGTAAATTACTTATTATAATGTAACTACGATGATTGAAAAATATTATTACTGAAAGTTGTACCTATAACTAATAATTATAATAATAAAGTTGATAACCTAAATTTTAAAAGTTAAACATTATTAATACGAAAGCGCGATTATTTTGCACAACAAGTTGAACACAATGCAATATCAATACCGTAGGCGGTTAAATGTTGCAACATAAATGTATTTATTTATAATTTCTCGTTAAACAGAGTACGGTTTATCATTATGGTAAGATTCAGAGCTCATACGATTCACGAATATTATTGTTAAATAGACTCTTATTAATAATAACACCACCAATGGAGATCCATTTTGATGCAGCTGTATACAATGTACTTTTAAGACCAGTAAATATAAGAAGGCATAATATAGTATTGTAAGTGTAACACGCATTTATTGCTACATTACAGACACACTTTACGAACTAATTTCTTCAGCGGTCATTATATATGCCTATATCACTTTATAATAATTCCATCAGTTAATGCGGTCCCATAATATTGAAAATATTGAAAACATACATACCAATAACCATCAAGCCACAGGTATTATGGTACATAAGTCACTTAATTGAAATTTATATGAATAACATCTATGAAAAATAATAAAAACCATTGTGATCCTGTTATATATTTTACTTATCAAATTTATAAACATCATCGGTCTTATAATAGTTTAACAAAACTCTCTACGAAGTAAATATTACATTACAAACCCTATTATTTTTATGTTATTAATTAAACGACTTCTTTATGAAAAACGTAACTTACCTTTTTGGGCTGCGTTAATAGTTACACTACAATGTATTATAATATAATATACAACACACACAGTTACAGTATAAAATGCAATACAGTATGTATGAAGTTATGGTAAATATGCATGTGTACCTTAAATATTAAACTATTCATTTAGCGAATGTGTTTATTTAATGTATGATAAAACAACATAATTTATATCGTTTAACGATAAATGTTTACACTAACGCATGCGCACAGCTGATATCATGACACGGGGAGGATGATTTAATCGTTTTCTACATCATTTTGCGATCGTATGCCTACAGACATTTGTACAAATTATTATTGAATATTACTAACAAGTTACATAACTGTAGAATTAGATAAAAAAATTAAAACTCAGAGTAGTGAATAACAAAAGTTTGATTGGCGTTAGGTGCTGAAAGGTCATTGTATTTCTTTACTAATATATATATATATATATATAAATATATTTGTATGAAATATTTTATTAGATCAAATGTATTATCTCCTCGTTGAGACTTGCCTGCACGTGTTTGTTTACTGATTCTTATCATTTCAATTTTTGTTCGCTACTACTCAATAGTCATATTATTTACGAGCAAATTACACCACCGTTGAATACATCGTTACAACCGAACATTGCACTGATCTTATAGGTAGGTATCCTATGTTGATGCTTGATGATCACATCATTTTTTACGCAATTAATTATGACTAATAACCGATATATTAGTAATATACTAAAATAAACTGTTTTATTTAGGACTCGGAAGTTGTAGGAATTGCATATACTCTCAATTTATAGCAGACCCAGCTATACAAGGGTTTGTTTAAAAATCGAAATCTAATAAAGCATATTTTGCTTATTTGGTTACATTTAGGAAAAAAGTGCTTATTTTGTAGATTTTCATATGTATATTATGTATATTTAATAGTTTAAAAAAAAATGTATTTTTTAATTTTTTAACCTGTGTAAAGTTAAGCCTCTAACCTGACGTTGAAAGAAGTCTTTTTCGATATAAAAATATTCTATTGAATATCGTCGTTATTTGAAATTTAAAATCTTGAGAAAGTATTGGTGGTTCAATGCAATAAATTAACAGGCATTATAAAACATTTATTTTTTCGTATTTAACTTTAGATATTAAGAAAAAATATTTTTAAATTATACTTTCATTTAAATAAGATATTAGAATACCAACTAGTTATACATTTTTTTTCAGTTATTAATAATTTTTGTTTATATTATTAATATATTAATAACATCAGATATAATTTTTTTTTAGAATTCATAATATTTTTTTGCATATTTTAAATTTTTAATGCATATTTTGCCTTTTTAGCTCCTACGATTTACCAGCTCTAGTTATAATTTATGACTTACTAGTGTTTTGTATTATCAAAATACACATAACGCAAAATATTTATTTAACTAAAATCATAAAGATTCACGCATATCATATAATTCTTTCAATGACTAATGAATTAAAGTCATTATTTTGGTTAGGTGTATTATATCAACTCAGAAATAAAAATACATCTTTAATCTATGAACATCAGAGACAATTTTTTTAATACCACTATTAACAATATAATGTAAAATTTAATATATAAATAATAAAAAGTGTTTAAGATATTGAGATGCAGTCAATGGCGGATTTAAGAGCAGGCTAAATACACGGTTTTTTTTAGGAGCAATTTTTTTTTAAGCGCGACTTTTTTAAGTATTTATTATCTATTACTACTAATAGTAGTACAGTTAGTAATTAATTATTAATTACTATTATTTATTTATTAGTAACTTATCTGTACATATTATTAGGAACATCCGAATATGGATATTTTCTAATTAAAAGATAATTTTCTATTTTAAAGATAATTTATTTTGTTTTTGATAAAAAAAATTGTTGACAATTTGAAGAAAAGTATTCAGATCGAATATTATTGGTTTCTTAGTAGTGTGAAGTGGGGGAGGGGTGCCAGAGTGATTTAGCCTGTTGGAGCCAAAACAAATCTGTCACTGGATGCAGTTGTTATCCTGTAACTATGTAATCACATGGTAATATAAGAAATAATTGAAAATGTAGATTAGTTTACAAATTGGATGAATTATAAGATACATAATATAAAGGCTGGAAAATATACTACTATGCATCAATAATTGAGAAATACGCAATGGTTGTCGAAGTTTAAGTTAGTTTATATAGATTAATAGTTTAAGACTTATCCTCTCAACTAGAAAATATTATTCATATTTTTCGTATAAAATAATTTAATTTTAATTTCTCATGGAGTATATTGTCATATAATTGTAGTATACCTACTATAATAAATACCGAGCTTTTTTTCATCACCTACTTGTCTCCGTTCTTTATATTTTGCTCTTTTATATCCATTTTAGAATATGGGGTTGTCGTTTAGTACCCATACCTTGCTAAGGATTAGCTGCGCCTCAAGCGAGTTTAGCATAAATTCCTTTCTTACGCTGCATTTATACTTAAATTACCAAATCCTAATCATATATGATTTTTGTAGTTTTAGTAATTAAACCTACTCTAATATTGGCAATTTTCTAAGTATACCCTCTCTGTCATCCACGCCGCAATCATATTGATTTACAGTTCATTCATGCTCTTCTTGACAACAGTGGCGTATTTACGGGGGGGGATATGGGGGATAGATCCCCCCCCTTGACCTTTTTTTTTTTTCCTAGGTAGCTATAAGTTGTCTCATTTTCTCTAAATTCTTAATATGATATTACTTTCAAGCATGAATGTTTTCTGTTTTCTAAATGTTCTAGTCGTGGTAATTGTACCGCTCTGATAGTCTGATATACTAATCGCCACTAATCGTTTATCGTTGGCGGCATGTACGACTATCAGGCAACAAAAACTATACCTATATTATGGTGTACTGTATTTTGTACGTTTCTGCGAATTATTTTTCATGCAAGAGTGTTTATAATAAACCCGATGAGCAATCGGTAAACAAAACGACCATGAAGACCGTGGATTAACTATAGGGCGGCCGGGCGGATTTATTTTTAGAAAATTTGTTACTAGTAGATTTATGGCTAATGTATAGCTATATATATATATATTTTATCGTATGATATCGTGATTCGTTAAAAGTAGATATGTACGGTCGTTGGACGTTGACGGATAGCGACGCCGCGCCATTCCGAGTACTGACTTACTGCCGAATTGACTATTGTTCAACTTTATTTTTTGCGTCTTGTAAGTTGTAACTGTGAAGTTTTAAGACAATATGAGTAATACTCAAAAACAAAAAAAAACTTTATTTTCTTATTTTAGTACAAATAAAAAAATTTGTTTGGATGAGGTAATTATAAAGATTAATTCTTATTTTGCCTTGATCCACACTAACCTCAATAGGTAACAAGTTAGGGGATTTTAAAAATGTATATTATGTACGAATTTATGGGTGTTAGGATGTATTATTATATATTTCATCCCCCCCCTAGCAAAATTCCTAAATACGCCACTGCTTGACAACTCTATCGACTCACCTGACCTTCTATCGAAAATCCAATTTAAAGTCTCCTCTCACAATGTTTGAAATCAAGCCTTATGGGTAAGTATAAATAAATCTATATAATTCCCGGAGACCAAATGTCCTATGTTAATTATAGACGGGGTTGAAACGTCCGTGGACTTGTTTTTTTGACGGGAACGAAACGGCAGAGGCGAAACGCCCGCGAATTCAACTAAACACTCCACTCCCTCTGAAATCCAGTATTTAATTAAAAAACTACGCCTAAATAAATCTCTAGGTCAAAATTTTATAACCAACTTAATCAATAAACATCTACCCAAAAAACTATATTGTTTCTAACACTGCTATAAAATACTATAATCAGACTATCCTATTTTCTTGACTACTGGAAACATTTTGTAATAATACTCGTTCATAAGTCTGGAAAACCAACGGAAATTACTCCTTCATTAAGACCAATTAGCCTATTGCCCTCTTTTTTTAAAAATCCTCAAAAAAAAAAAACTAAAAAAATTAACCCATTCATTAACAACAAAAGAATTCTAACAAAATACTTAATTTGGTTTTAGAAATAAACACCACTCTCTTCATTAAATTTATAGAATATTTGATATAATAGCCTTTCTTAGAATAAAAAGAGTACTGCACAGGTATATTTATAGACGTGGCTCAAGTGTTTGATTGAGACTGGCATTTGTAATTTCTTTGAGTTGTATCTGAAGTCTTGAATATCCATTTTTAAGATGTTGGCTTATCATAGAAATAGTGAAATGTCAAAAATCAACTGTCATCATTAACATTGAATTATTACATTCTATTAGATTCTCTATATATATTTAAGAATTAACATAAAACTTATATTCTTAAGAAATGGTTATTTCATATAATTAATGTTTCAATATGAAGTTTGTTTATACTACTATTTTGATATTCAATTATTTACTATCTATTGAATATAAAATATAATTCAATATTTAATCTATTAATAATCATTTATAATTATCAAAATCCTAAAAGTAAATTAGTTTTATCAAAACTCGTTTTGTTTTTTTTTTAAAAAAAAACAAGTATATTTAATTAAATTTATAACAACTCAAGTCCAATTTAAACCATTTGTATTTGAGCTTTAGTATATTAGTCTATTTGAAGATAAATTAAAAATATTAAATATAATATTATATTCAATAAATAATACTATTTATTAAATTATAAATAATAAACTAAGTGTTACATGGATAAAATAAAACAAAAAACCATATTTCAACAAAATTTTGATTAATATTTGTTAATTTACACTATTGACTCTCAAACACAATACCAATACATGAATATCTGAATTATTTTAAGAAACATAACTTTTGTAGTAGTTAATATATTATATAATTTTTAAAAATAATATATATTACACTAGGTATATGAAAAAAAAAAAATCAAAAATAATAATAAAATTTATATTTTATTAAAAAAAATAAAAATAAAGATACAAACTTAAACCAAAAGTACAGCGTTAATACAACCGTCATTTTCTGGATTGTTAGTAACCTGTGCATATTTTCCCCAAACAACTTTACCAGACTGTGTTACTAGACCTAATTCACTAATGTTTACTTCTATTACAGTACCTTTAGTTATAACACCCAAATTTGTATACATTGGAGAATTAGGATTTTTTTTTACACCAATAATAGGTAGATAGAAAGTAGCTTTCAATTCTGGATGAGTAACATGAGCTTTATTGAAACGTAAAGCCATAGGTCTAATAAACCTTTCAAACTTAGGTGGTTTACGTGTAAATCCTTCACCAACATAACACACTTTTGTGACCATCCTCTTCCATCCTTTTCTTTTGGATTTGCCTGTTCTAAATACCTTGAATACCTCCGAGTCTCCTTGCGCACGCACCTTAGGTATAGGTACATCCCACTTGCCAGCTTTTTCCTTACGTTTCTGTTTAATCATGTTGGAGAGGACTTTGGCACTTGACTGAACATCTCTGTCAAGTAAATAAACTGGAAGTGCTCCTTCCTTAGGTTTTTCTTCTTTCTTTTTCTGTAATTTTTCTTCATGTTCCTTGATCTTTTTCTTCATTTGAATCTTCTCATTACGACGTTCCTTGTTATAGAGTTTAGCTTTTAGACCACGAAGTCGTTTTGCCTTGTCAGAACGTAGATGAGGCTCTCGGGCTTCCTTCTTACGCATGCGCTGTTCATAATCTAACCGGCGACCGTATAATTTACGGTGCCTCTCCATATACTCGTTCTGTGGCATGATTGATTTTTCTAAAAAATAAAGTAAGTATATAAACCAAAGATGGGAAACAAGCTTTTAAACTTATTATAATCTAATGACCAAAAAAATCAATTGAATAGGACCCAACATAAATCCTTTATTAAAAATTAAATATATAAAGTACCCAATAAAACTAAAAAATATTTCTATACAGAAATAGATGTATTAAAATAGGATTATGACTTTTCCATTCCATTATCACATCTTATCATTTATCAAAAATAATTTTATACTAATAGTTTTAATATCTTTATTAATAAACGTTTCAAAATTTAAAGCAAAACCAATATCTACAGATTGACTGTTTGATAATTAAATTTTTAATACTAAAAATATATTCTATATCAAAATGTATTATTAATTATTTACTGAAACATAATCAATACGCAATACAGTATACATCAGAAGTTGTACAAAACGTTAAGAATAATTATAGATGTACTTTGTTGTGTTACGGCTTATGAGGAATAATAAAAACTGTTCACAATTCAATAAAAATAAACATTGAGCAAAAATTGACAGTTGGATTAGTTTGTTTTTCTTCTAAATTGTATTTTCAATATTTTTTAATGTTTATTATTTTCAAAAGGAGATAACCTCAAATAAACTCATGAGGTCGGTGAGATTTTACTAGATACTATACGACCTCCATGTATTTGGTAAAATGATAAAGTCGTGTGGCACAGAATAAATACATTTTATTACTAATTTTTAGCGAAACACTGATAAAAGCAATTACTAATTTCAATATTGTGTTCTTTGGGGATACAAATGTTTTCTATTCGTAATCAATTCGTTTCATTATTAAACGTTTCATTCGTCCGTCATAACTAATTTTGCAATTTTAGACAACCTCTGTAATATCATATGTTTGTAAAATTCGGTGAGTAATATTTTTAATAATAAATAAAATTCAAATCAAAAGTGAAAATGATTGACATATTATCATAGCTGTCCTGAAAATGGAAAAAATTATACCAATAACGTTCAATATGTTCACATTTCAATACCGTGACCAAAAACATCTTGAATTTTGATTATCTTAATTTAAATACCATTTATCTATTTTTTTTTTTTACCTTAAAAGTGTATCATTTACAATTTATTTTTATTTTTGCTGTGTAGTATATATTATTAATTTTTCTAACGTTAACTTTAATATTGTTTTATTGTTTCAATAGATACTGGTGATGATTTTTACATGCAGTCATGGAAGAACCATATGAAAAAGAATTGTATAATATTTTTAAAAGTTTTGAAAGTGATGAAAATGATGAGTTGGACCATAAAGGAGTAAATGCTCTTTGTGATACACTACAATTGGATTTTGGCCAACGTAAACAATTATGGTCGTTCTTGGATCAGAATTCAACTGTTTCTTTTGAACAATTTCGAGATGCTTTGATTTGTTTGGCCAATAATGGTTTAAAAGAAGAAATTTATTCTAGAGATATTTCCCCGGGTAAGAATTTTCAAGTATTTTTTTTTTATTTTATCGATCAATTTAACAATTGCTTTCTAAAATGGACATACAGGATACATATTATATGAAATTGTTGTCAAATATTCTGTTTTTTGGTACTACTTGACCTTGTTTTCTTTACTCCTTTCACCTACCTTTTATTATGTATGTTATATAGATAAGCCTATTATATTATTTTATCATCATAAGCTATTATTGACATGTTATGAATATTTACTAACTAAACTTACAGCAATAGCTTAATTGTGTATAAACTGATGTGTACTGATTGATACATTCTTAAAATATTAAGTCTTGTCGATCTGATAAGTTAATAATTTATGATTAGAATTTATTAAATGATAATTTTAATAATATTAAATTGTTAGGTAAATATACTTTCAATTAGGAAAATGTTTTTATTATTTTTTATATCTATGTAATTATTCCCTCCATTCACTGAAAGATAAAAAAAAAACAGTGAAGTAAAAACTGGAATAATATTTATGTTTTTAAATGAATTTTATTTACCTGAAAACAATTTATGATAAGTTAAAATTTCTCAAAATACTTAATAACTTCTTATGAATTTTAAAATATAGAATATTAAATGTACTTATTATATATAGTGTATAGTACTGAATGTTGATTCATTTTTTTAATGTGAATTTTACCATATTAATTTAATTATAAATTAAGTTTTATAATTATAGACATTAATTTTTAAGCTGTTTAGTAATTATTCAGTTAATTAACATTATTAAAAATAATTAGATGACTTAAAATTATTTCTCTGTCTATGAATAATATACAATACATTATTTTACATATAATATAGAAAATAGTTTTTTTTTGTTGAGTAAATAATAATAATGAAAAACTAATGTTTATTTATTTTAATATCTTCGCCCTAAAAAAAATGTTAACTCAAATAGAAATGATCAAATTATTGATTCTACTTTTCTTGTTTTTAGTGTGAACTTAAAAATATTTTTATATATCAAAATAATAATTTAATAAATTATGTATAATATAACAAAATAAATAAGTTGTGTAAATAATAAACCTATTTTATATTGATAATAAATTATCAAAGCATTTAAAATAAATTTAAATTATAGTTTAATTATTATTTATATAAAACAAAACATAAAATTGTAAAACATTGTCATTATTTATCAACAATGAAAAATATTATGTTAATTTAGCAACTTACAATTAATCAACAATACCTAAAATCATATTAAAAAATTATAACTGAAGCTCCTAAAAAATGATAAAACAAATAACTTTTAAAGGAACTAGTATAATCAGTATTAAAAGTACAGTGAATGGGAGATATTATATACATAAATATACATTTACATATACCTATTAAATTAACCAAGATATAAACTTGAATTTTAATGCGGAAATTTAAAAAGTTAATTAATCAGTTATTTTGAAATTTACAAATTAAAATTATGCTTATAATAATGAAAAATATAGGTTCTTATTTTTTGTCGATTAATTTATACTATTTCAATTCAATAATCTTAATTTTAACATTAAAAATTTTAGATAAAGTATAAATAACTTGAAAATCAATAATTTATGTCATTAATCATAAGTTAGATATATATCATGACAATAGTGAAAGGTTATTCAATTTCAATAATCTGATTGTGAAGGACGTTAACATAACATTGTGTGACCTTAATAAACAAATCATTATCTCATTAATGTTTGATTTTATATAGTTCTTAAATAGTTAAATATTTTTTCTTACATTACAGTTAGGGAAATATCACCTAAGTATGTTTTTGGTGAAAAAAAATATGGCCGTCGAACAAAGCCTCGAGACGATAGTTTTACTCTAAATCAATCAGAAATTACTCAAGATTTAAATAGTAGCTTACCGTTATCTCCTCGAAAACTAGAATATGTCAATGTAAGTTTCTTGTATATTATTTAGTTCAACGTTTTAATGATATTGATAATTATTTAATTACAGGTACATTCAGATATAAAACCTGATGATGAAACACTAAATAAAAACCTATTATCACAATGTGATGACAAACATGGTAAGTTTATAAAAATAAACTTTTACTTAGTTATTTTTTATTAAAAAATAAATGATGGTTTTTAGATTTATTAAGAGAACGGTTGATTATGGATAAACACAATTTAAGTTTAGTCTGTGAAAACATGGGTATCACATCCAATGGACTTGTATCAAAACCTCAACTAATCAGTATAATCCAACACTTTGACTGTAATGAAAAATTATTTGAGAAGATCAATGAAAAATATTCTAATGATAATATAACAATTAAAGAAGTTTTGGAATTAATTAGCAGTCTTGATTTCCGGTCTGTTTCACCAAATTCTGAAACATCAACTTCTGGAATTTCATCAACGTCATATTATCATAGAGAAGATAATTCACCAAATTCAATGTAATCGTCATTCATAACTAAATACCATAACTTTAATTTATATTTAACTATATTTAATGATTTTTATTAGGGTGGTAAATGTTTGCACTCTTATTGAATTATGGGAAAGTAGTGGTATACCTGAATCAGTTAACTTGTTACAAGAACTAGGGATTGACACTTCTTTAGATACAGTATATGTACCTGATCTAGTAACTATTGTGAACAACCAACTCAATAAAGTACGAAATAACTTTGTTGACTCATCATTACCAGAATATGATTTGATTAACTCACCATTTATTTTACTTAAAGCTTTAAGTTCATTAAATGAATATCAAGTAAAATGGCTAAAGTAAGAAAAATAATATTAATGTATGTATATTAAATTTTTTGTAATTTTAATTTGTTTGATTATAGAATGATTATTGAACAGATGAACTGTGAGAGAGAGAAATTAAAGGATGATGTTGATACTGCTAATAATAGAGCAGCAATGCTTGCGCAAGAAGTTGATGAAAATCATATGCGACTAGAAAAATCATCAGCTGATAAAATTGCGTAAGGGTTCTACATTAAATTATTTTTTAAGATTTCAAAAAATTAAATGTATTATGATTAGATAATCTAATTAAGTAATTTTATTTAAGTGCTCTAGAACACAAACATCATGAAGAACGGAAAACACTTATTGATCAATGGGATTCAGAAAAAGACCAATTGTTGAATCAAAATATTTTGCTCAAAGATAAATTACAGCAAGTACAAGATTATGAAAATGAATTACAATCTGAACTCTTTAAAAACAAAAAAGTATGTTTAGTATTAATACTTAATTGCAATTTAATTAATTTATAATTTATTAATAAACAATTTTTTTTTTTTTTTAACAACTGAGTCTATTAGAAAATGAAAATACACGATTGAATGAACAATTAGAAGAAATAAAAGAAAAAAATGTGTGCTTAGAAATTCAAGTTCAAGAAATTCCACAGTTAAAATTGAAGGTAAACATGATTATTTTATTAATGAAAATTAAATATATATTAATTTTGATTTTCTCTGAATATTGTTAAACAAATTAGTGATAGTATGAACAAACTGTTCTATAGTTAATTGTAATAAAAAAAATCTCATGCTATATCACTGATAACAAACATTATTTTTAGTTTTATCAAATAGTTTAAAAATCAAAATATAATTTTATTTTCAATTTTATATTAATTTTTTTCATATATTTATTTAATTTAATGTAAATCAGAATTGAAATTTAAATATATAATTATATTATGATTTTCAATGAATCATAGACATTGGAATTGGAATCAAATAATGAGCAAATTTTAGATCTCGTGGAAAAAATTGATACTTTAAAAAATGATAACAAATTTCTCAGAGATCAAAATGATGAACTAGTTATTGAACTTGAAGCAACTAAAAGGTATATTATACAATAATAGTATTTTTGACACTTATAAAATGTTTTATTTATGCTATTATTTTTCTTTTCTTTTTATACTTTTAGAATTGAAAATTTGGAAGCTGATAGGTCATTTGAAACTAATGTCAGGAATTTTTTGGCTGAAGAAAATAGTCCCAACTGTTTTGGCAAAGTGAAAGAATTTCCTATTGAGTCCTCTTTGGAGGTTGGAGAGAATGATAGTACAAATACTTCTGAAACATATACCATTGAATCTGACTTTGAAACATGGAATAAAGTAAGTAAAATAATATATCTTAGGTTATTCTTAATAATGACGTATACAACTATAAATTATTTATATTTTATATTTATTTTGATTGTATTTGATAGTGTGAAAATATGGGAGAATCAGATAAAAAGTGTTCTCAGTCTTCAATGCTTGTTACTAGTATAAAAACAACACTATCATCCCAGACACAAATTGATTCTTCTCATTTAGATGAATTGATTGACTATTTGGAATATTTGAAACATACTCCTCAAGTCATTAATTCGATACAAGTTAACAAAAATAAGTTACTATTACAAGAGTCTCTAGATAGTTTTGCGACTTCATCGCCTTTAAATAAATATCCAACAAGAAGGTCATTAAATAAGCAATTTGAGAGTTCATTAGAAATGGAATTTATGGATACTACTTTGATGGAAGTGACAAATGGTAGTGTAGAACAATTGAAACAAATGTTCAACCAGTGTAAATCAGATAATCATGAACTGTATGAAAAATGTGAAAAAATTGAGAAAGATTGGGAATCTAGATATAATGAGATATGCAATGTAGCAGACAAAGCTTTAGACGAAGCTAAACGGTTGAAAGATGAATGCACTGATCTGGAAAATGGTATCGATGCATTACGTAATGAATACTTTGAATGTGAAGAATATTGGTCACAAAAATTGGATGAAGAACGTAAATTAAATGAATTAGTAAGTGTTATTCATTTTTAGATGATATTTAAAGATCATTAATTCTGATTATATGTTATATAAATGGAATAAATATTTATCATTCGGTTATAATTAATCAATAGTACCATAATTATATTATCATTAAATTGTTATTATTTCATTTTTTTTTTTTTTTTAAATAGGAGAAGAAAGTAAGTGAAGAAAAATTGAATGATCTAGAAGCAAAGATCAAAGAATATAGTGAAATGATGGAGTCAACCACTGTTAAAAGATTACCTCCAATTGATGAAAATGCTGAACTTGAAGAACAAGTAATTTTATTATTCCAAAATATTTTAAATTAAATAATATTATTTAATCTTTATTTCTCTACAGATAAACTGTATTCAACAAGAATTTTCAAGTTATCGTGTTAAAATAGAAGAAGAAATGCAAAAGATTAAGAATGAAAATGATAAATTAAAATCTCAAATCATCTTACCGGTTGAAAAAATAGATCGTGAAGTACCAAATTGTCAATTTAAGGAACCATGTGAAAAATGTTATGAAAATGCAAAAGTATGCATTATTTTCATAATCTTGTGTTTATTTATTTTAACTTTATATTTTATTTATTGTTTAGGTGTACAGTGATTTAAAAAATAAAATGTTTGACTTAAGAAAAAATCGTGAAAAATTAGGTGTGGAATGCCGTAATTTGTTGCAACGAAGGAGTACACTTAAAAATGAAATATTACAACTACAAGAATATCTAAATGTACTTTCAGTAAGTACTTTAATATAAAAATATATTCATTGAGTTTGAAGTAATTAAATAATGATACAATTTGGATATATTTGGTATAAAATTTAATGTTATTCAAAAATGGTTTTCTTTTAAATTAATATTCTATTTAACTACTTAATTAACTGCAAAAATTATTTTAATGCTAAGATTGTAATACTTCAGTCTAGATTATTAGTATACACTATCTTATATAAAATACTTTGACTCTTTGTTTTCTCTCAGCCTTTGAAACAACAATCTTTTCTTCTTTCTCTCCTTCACCTTTCTCCCAACTATTTGGGGTCAGATATCGTTGTCCTAAACCTCCACTCATTTTGATTTTCTACATCCCTTACACATACACCACCACAGCCCTCATATCATTCTCAATTGTTTCCAACCATCTCTTTTTTGGTGTTCCTCTTCCTCTTTTTCTTTATGTTCATTATAATAACTTACTGCATTTGTTTTCTTTTATCACATCACATGCCCAAATCATATCAATCTATTTTCTCTCATCTTATCCACTATCTGAGCTACACTAGTACTACCTCTTACATATTTGTTCCTCATTCTACTTTCTCTTGTCACTCCATTCATCCATCTAAGCATTCTCATTTTCCCAACACCCATACTCTGTTTTATTCTTCTATCAACCGCCCAACACTCCGAATTATATAGCATAGTTGAATAGGTGTAACTTGAAAATTTATTAAGGGGGGGGGGGGGCAAATATATAATTACATATCTAACAAAAAGGGTGTCCGAAGCTAAGTGCCGCTTTACTACCTAACATATTACTAACCTAACGTATAATTATATATAATTATTCATTTTCTAACATATGTTAGATAAGCTAACATTTAAAATTAAGATTTAAAAAAAAAAATTGTATAGTAATAGCTATAACCAGCTGTTTTGTAATTATTTTAAAACAGAGTGTGTTAAATATCAGAGGGAGCACTGCCTCTCCTAATTTATTCTAGGGGTGGGACAATTGCCCCCCCCCAGTTTACGCCTACATATAATTAGTATCGTTAGACTCCTGTAAAATTTAACTTTCAAGCTCATTGAAATTCTCTTATCATATAAATTCTTTTGTGTATCATCCGACACTCCAAACTATATAACGTAGTTGGTTTTGCTACACTCCTGTAAAATACTTTTCAGCCTCATTGGAATTCTCTTATTACATAAAATGCCATACGCTTCTATTTCATCCAACCGCACTTAATCCTATGTTTCACATCCATGCCAACAAAAATCTTTTAGTTAATTAATTATAATTACTAAATTAAATTGATTTTCTCTATAAAACCTTAGCTCAATGTAAATTTTATAATTGTAACACAAAATTACATTTTATATACTTCTTAGTACACTATGAAGTAATTACATATTTTACAAACTATTTAATCTAATTTTAAATACAATATTGAATATAATTTAAATTAATTTATAAATCAATTAGAATTAAAATTATAATCTATTATTAATTTAAAATTAATCAAAAATTTAAAGTATACCAAATTAAATTATTTTGTAAGGAATAAATTAAACTCATTATTTCAAATATAATTATTATAATAGATTATATTACTCTTAATTTTTCATCAAATAACAATATAATGTCAATACATCAAATAGTTTTAATGAAGAAAAATTATGCTAAATTAAGTTAATGTTGGAGTTAAAGAAAATAACTATTTATTATGATTTATGGTTTAATTATTTTGAGTTTATAGCTGATATGAAATAAATGGATTAGTTATATTTTTATTTGTGCGAATATAAATTTATTGAATATTTATATTGCAGAACACCCACAAAGAATTATTTGTGCGGAAAGAAATGAATCAAGCAAACCAGATGTCTGTAGATACCAGGAAATGCAAAGAACTTGAGCAGAAGCTTCATGATGAACAGGCCAGACATCAAAAGTTAACCAATGGTTGGTATAGTTTAATGTTTTATTAATTTTACTCCTTAAGTAAAATAAAACTTACAATGGTTGGGTCACAATGTCTTGTAAACATTTTCCTGATGTTAATGTAATTTTGCTTACAATATCATTTTGTAGATTATATTATCATTAATTGAAAAATTTTTAGTTAATTAAATTAAATGATTTAATTACATTTTAATACATATTCATACATTTTTTTTTATAATTTAATCTATCAATTCGTACAAAAATAATGTTATTAATATAAAATATTACTAAAATTCAAGAATTTATGATCATTTTTCATCACTTATGAATATAATCATGTTTTAATTTAAATTTAATTGTATATGATTATTTTTTGTATAGCCATATGGAATGAACATCAAACAAAAATAGATGTGGCTCACAAGTTATTGCGTACAGCCCAAGATAAGCTTGAAGAACAAATTAAAATGAGACATGAACAAGTAAATGTCATCTGATCTTAATAATTGGTAGTTCATTGCAATGCTTATCTAATATAATTTTTCAGAATAAACAACTCATGAGCGCTGATATGATTGTTAAAGATTTATTCATCGAAAACGCCAAACTTGTGTCTATAATTCATAACCTCCAAACTCAAATTGATCGCTCGTCAAATTATAATTCAATGTAAATGGAATTGTAATGTACTACTATTTTAATTATTTTTTACGTTTTTCCCCCTCTATATATTATTGAAATACTGCAAAATGTTGTTCAGCTTATTGTATTTTTAAGGACTTAAACACTGTTTTTTTTAATTTAAGGTGTGGTTTTTTTGTTGTTGTGTTATTTCTACTTTTTTTTTTTTTTGTTAAAATAAGTTTAGACTTAACGTTTCTCCTAATTATAAAACTACTGAAAACAGTGCCTTAAATGAGGAGCTTATTATATAGACTCATCCTATCGAGTTTATATACGTAAAATTTTGCAGGGTTATTTTGAAACTGACAAAAATCCTAAAAAAAAAAAAAAAACAATATAATCTATTGTATATTAGTCAAATTAAATTTAAGTTATATATATATATATTATTGATATACATTAATAGTGCACTATTTTCATATTAACTGTTATATATTATATAGATCGTTGCAATAACAATTATATTAGTACCTATATATTTGGTCTTTGATCAGTTTTTCTCTGGTAAAAACTGTTCTCCAGTTAATTATAACCAACATAAGCTTCATTAAAATCTCACTAGACTATTTTTGTTAAACCATTAATTATAAATTCTTAATTTATAATCAATGGTTTTGCGTTCACTATGATTATGTATATTAAATTGTAAGTTTTTATTTTTTACTTTATATATACTTTTATGCGCATATAACTCGAATTGTAGTTTCTTTTGTAAACTTGGAGATGAGGTAATATTATTGTAAAATTCAATATTGCCACAATGATATTCTTCACGCGAGTGACATTTTGATAAACCTTCCTATGCATGTGTTTAATATCTAGTCATTTTCTTCAACTTTATTCATCTTTTAGTGAAAACTGTTACAGCAAGGTTAAATTGAATACTTGTCAGTTCACCTTTCCCCATACCTCATCTCTAAGTGCACGTAATAGTGATGTTTGCTTACCATTTTTTTATGTTGATAATTATTTTATACAAAACACCTTTAAATAGTGTATAATATTAAGCATTGAATGGTTGTGTTGAATTGTGCTACCGCTGGCAGCCATCTACATTATTAATACGTGACTAGTTGTAGTAGTATTGATTGCACACCAGCGGTACAAGAAACCAACCGAATTATTTCTTTCAATCATTATTTTTTCATATTTTCTTTTGTTTTTGTTACTCCTCAATATCATAATTTACTTTGAGCATATATTATTTTAAATGTAAACGTTTATTAGCCAAAGACTTGTTTATTAATATAAGTAATTACTAATTAAAGTTATTATATAAAAAATAATAAAAATTATCTTTGTAGTCATATTTTACGTACACACTAATTCTGCATAAATCCAATATTAAGAAGGCAAAAAAATTTAAAATGACTTGTTTATGAAAACTCGTTCACATAGAAATTATAAAATTTAAATACAGTTTAGTTCATAAGTAATAATGAAAAATATAAAGTGAAAAAAATACAATTAGAAAAGTACAATTAAGTCGTAAAAAGTAAAATAAAAAGCTAAAGCTGTGTAATAATAATAATAATAAAAAAAAACACACAAATATTGTATACAAATCTAATTGACAAACAAATATTGAAAAACAAATGCTCACTAATTATCTTAAGCCCGGACCCAGCAAAGTGGGTCTAGAAGATCGCTTCTCTTTCTCTTTCTTCTTGTTTGGATCTGGCAAGAAGCACTTCCACATTCTTAAGGTCTCATCAGCTCCAGCTGAGAGTACTGTAGAACCATCTGGTGACATGGCTAAGTTAAGAATACGATTGGTGTGTCCAGTTAGCTCAGCAACCTTAAGGGAAGTAATAAAATCAGAATTTTGAAACAGCTGATCAAATCTTATTAACAAATTGTTATTTTATCGATGTTGGAATATACCTTTGTCAGTGATGGGTACTTCCATATGGTAAGCTGATTGTTTGCAAACCCATGTGCTGATACCAATTCCCTGTATGTTTTAGACCACAGAATAGCGCATACTTGTGAGTTGGCATTGACAGAATTAATACACTGACCATTATTACAATTCCAAAATCTAATAGTCCTGTCAGCTGTACCACCACCACTGGCCAATACATTAGTTTGCCATGGGCACCAATCTAAAGCTTTGACCGCTGCTTGATGTTGACTAATACAAGTATGAAATTATTTTCAATTATTAATTCTTATTTTTAACCACAAACTTACCTAAAACTATATATGGGTTCAGAATGGTAAGTTGTTTGACCGGGTAAGCCACTATACACATTTAGCAGATTATCATTGCCACCACTGGCTAGGTAACGACCGTCAGTTGACCATTTCAAACCACAAACCTGCAAGAAAAAAGTATATGTTAATATAGTATTATAAATGTTATTAATGTTAACAAAATATTCATTAGAAACTTAGCGTTGTATTGTATTGTATTTACTTCTTGTGTATGGGATTGAATTATAGTAATAATGTGTTCTCTATGTCTGACATCATTGTGAACAAGTTGTCCATTTCTAGAACCTGTGGTTAATATATGATTGTTCCATGACATGGCACCTACTCTTGAACTATGACTGTTCATTATACGTAGCCGCTTTGTCTGTGACACATCCCATAGCTACACAAATAAATAATTAAATTTACGCCATGTTCTACAAACTAAAAGCAGACATGTACTTACTTGGACAGGTCCTAGGGAAGTTCCAACTGCTAATAAGTGTCCATTAGGTATCCAGCTCAAAGATGTAATATAATCAGCACCTTCTAAATCCAACAACTGATCAATTGCACCTGTGTCAGCATTCCATAGATAAACACTTGTACCCAGGGCGACAGCCAATATGTTGGAAAAACTCCAGTCAATTAAATTTAAATCTGTTTAAAATATAAATATTATTAATGATTTATAGTCATCTAAATTAATGGAATACTATACAATAGTCGTCAACAATTTCAGGAGCATCCAATATACGGTCTGGTGCATGTGGTATGTAACGAGTATTTCCACGTACATTCATGGGAGTCTTAGATTGGCTATAAACTACTTTCAAAGCATTTTGATAACCCTAAAATAAATTATTAATTTTATAAAATTAATTAAATATACTTAAGATTTTACCTTACCTCTGGAGGAGCTGGTGCTTTGTTCTGATAGGATAAAACTCTGACATTATTAATGTCACAACCATGGAGATTTTCAGACATGGCTTTTCTATAATCCGCTTGAGTTGGACTCAAGTCTAAGTTTTCATTTTCTTGATTCATCTAAATGAATAAATTTTATAATTTTATTGAGATAAATATTATTAATACATTGAGTATACATTTTTGACTTACTTTAAAATGACTCATGTCAAAATTTGTAGACATTCTGGAAGGAATGAATCTATCACCACCGGGGGTTTTTGGTTTAGCTGGTGTATTAGATGCTGATCTTGAAGCTAAAAATGAATGATTTACTATAAATATTTTCATTGGATAACAATCGATGACACTTATATTTTTTATGTATTTCATAAATAGGTACCTATTATCATTGATTTTAGAATATAGATATTATATATTATATCACAGGTGGTGAATCTATGGCATGTGTAAAAAATTGAAATTATTAAAAATTGTACACAAAAAAAAAAAAATTATACTACTTATAAAATGTTGGTAGTAAAAAATTAAAATAAACAAATTATATATGTTTAAAAAATTACAACATTCACTATTCTTTCATATTTTTCATCAACTTATGTTTGTGAAAGCTTATTCGCCATAACAAATTTAATTAAATCGAAGGAAAGAAACATTTTGACCAATGAAACAATTGCTGCCTGCATTTCATTAAGAATGACTGAAATTTAATAAAAATAATATAATAAATCTGTAATTTTCTTTGGGTACGTGAACAATTTTCAAAACCTAAAAAAGAAAAATTTGGCACTTAAATCAAAAAAGGTTTGCCACCCCTATATAATATAATTATATTTTAAAATCACTGCTATTATCTTTTTAAAAAATTAGTAATTTATATTTAAATGGAATCATAATTTTAGATTAATTTATCTATTATTTAATCTATAAAAATCATAAGTAAAATTTAATTTCTCACCTTTTACAATTGTGAATAATTTTTTTAAACTATTATTTACTGATGATTCAGGAGAGTTAACAAGAACATTAATTAGTTTTCGTGGGGTTAATTTATTTATTTTGAAAAACCTATCAATATGATTTTCACTCATTTTATACCAGATAATTATAAAACATTTATAAAGTATGATTTATATTTTATAAGCTGGATAAAGGGTTATTACATAGATTAATTAAATCTAGTTTATCATTTGGATATAAAACAGATTTTAACTTTTAGATAACCTCAGTAACATAGATACAACTTTACTAACCTGGTGATTTTGATTTTTTAGGTGTTTTTGATGGTGTTCTTTTAGCAGCCATCAAGTCAATAGTTTCTTTAGAAAGTTTCATGTGTCCACTGAATGAACCCGAAGTCGATATTTTGTTTCTAGAAGTGTTGGATGAGCTAATAGAGAATATATTTATATATATATATATATATATAATATATCAAGTGTAATGAAAAAATTAAGCAAACCACACACACCTTGAAGTCGATTCAACACTTTTTTTCATCCAGCGCGGAGCTGGACCATTAGTTATTGGTTCGTCCATCCTGACGGCGCTTTTAAGATCATTGACAAACGCGAATTGAGACATTCTAAAATTAATATCTTCAACGCTTTGCGAGTAAAACTAAGGGAAAATAAAGGAAATGAAATAAAACCAACAATGGTGATGACGATGACGGACCAAACGTAACGATTAAAAATTGTATTATATTACTTAAAAAAAAAATAAAAATAATTATGGGTTTTTCAACAGTCTAGACGGATAATGGCACCACAAAAGTAAGGTGCAACTGTGGGCTATGATTTGTTCAATTGATCCACAGGCCTTACAATATTCACAACAGGCGTACAAGGTACACCAAATCAAACGACCGTTATTATTTCATCTTCTACGCACCCGTAACGTGTTGATAAAGGTTCGCGGGGAAATCTCACGGTCGTACCAGTGTGACCACGTTCGGCGATTACGGCCCTACTGGTGTGTACGAACTGGTAGAGTTTATCGGGCACATACGATTTATAAAATAATATTATTTTTTCACAACTCATAGATTCTGAATTCATTTTCATGTTTAATTTAAGGTTCACACAACAAATGGATATATTCTTCAGTGACAACATGGCGGTTTTATTTACGTCAGTTTCTTAACCCGTCATCAGTGGCGTCCTCTAAAATCACGCGAGAGGCGACGTCGATCTTACATATTTTTTTTTTCTCTCGCGACTTGTGATTATTCGAAAACCAATCGTCCCGCGAACGGGAAATCAAACAAAAGGTGATTAATTCATAATTGGAAAACTAACGACGAGCGGTTCCCGCCGCGGCACCCGTACACACAGCTCGTGACAATAAATAAACGCGTTTCGTCAATGACGGTAATGACCGATGTCACGTAAACAATGGAAAACGTGAACAAGTGGTTGTCGAAAAAAAAAAATAATAATATTAGTAATGGGCTGCGCAGGTGTACACTGTTAGTAGTGCGTTCGCGTGTGCGTTAAAACCAGAATAAATCCATTCGAATTGTCAAAAATATTATGTAAAAATATGCAAAGTACAATTTAGCACCCGCCGCCGTCGTTGAACACAATATTGTGTCTCACTTAGGAGCACGATAATAACATCCGAATGAATATCCACATCTCCGTAGCCCGTAAACATCGCGGTAACTACTACATACTGAATACGAGATAAACCGACGGTTCACACTTTTTCGACATTCCCGGACGCATAAAGTGCATGTCTATGTGGATCAGTATTAGGGCCGGTGATGGAGCGGCTCCAGAACCTTGGTTAGGGGGGGGGAAAGGGCAAGTTATAATTTTACAAAATTTTATAACAAAAAGAAAACAACAATTTTTACAACACAAATTCAAGTCGTCTATTTTTAAAATTGGCAAAAATATCAATAATATGATCTATTTTATCTAGAATATCTACTTTATGATATACATTAATTGGACATAATGCTGATAGCCTATCTTCAATCATCATTGAACGAAGCTAGGTTTTTAGTCTCCGAAGTGTGGAAAAACTCCTTTCAACCGTCATACCTCTATGGCTCTAACTACATACTTGTGCGTGTAGTATGATAGTACATATTATAATATGCATTTTTTGTTAACAATATACAATTTTTTATAAATACAGTACGAGCATGGGAGGGGGCCGTGGCTCCTAGGAACCCTCCTGAAACCACCCCTGGGCCGATGCAAGCTTTTGCGAGGCACTGGCGAAATACACCGCGAGGCGCTTATACAAAGCAGAACCACTAGGGTATTGCCCAAAAACATTAATCCCAGAATAATATGACAATCGAGCAACGTACTCGATCCAGTACAAATTCCTATAATGTTCCTATCTTTATCGTATCAACAATAAATCTAATCTAATAACATTATGTTTCCTACGTGAACTTGTCTCGTTGTTTCGATCCACGGAAGTGCACGCAAGGAAATGGTTGGTGACGGTTTCTTTGAACCGGTGACCGTAATCTTTAAAATCCCTGTGAAAACAACTACTTTTAAAATGTGTACCCCAGAGCTCGAAGTGGGGGGGGATATGGAAGGATGGCATCCCTCTACTTTTGTAGAACTACAGTTTTCATCCATCTACTTGTTTTGTCTAGAATAACGCATTCCTCCTAAGACTTGTATTTCAAAATGATATACTTATTATCATTTTTATATTTATATATAAGAGATTATTTTTTTTTTCGGTGAAAATAATTATTTTTAACATTCAGGCCCGGGTGCCCGG